AAGTATTAAACAAACATGTAACATGTATGGTTGCCTTGGCATTTAATGCATACAACACACTGAAAAAAGAACACATCACGTTTTGAATGACACTGATAAGAATATGCAGATATTTACATGTATGTTAGATCTTTCATAGTAAGGTTGGATTACGTCATGCGCTTACGTACAGTACAGTCCAAAAATAACTATGGAGGAGCCAGGAATCCCGTCTACAACATTTGTATAAACTACTACGATAGTATTGGTTTAACAAACTTTTATACTAACATTATTCAATTGTCAAAGTGTTTCATACTTTAATATGTTAACCTTAAAACACATTTATACAAAAATGAATGACATATACAAAGACATTTGAGAGGAAGTCCTTGTCAGGAATGGGCAAACAATATTCACCCACTCTTTAATATGTTTATTCATTTGTGTGCAACGTAATGAAAAAAAACACCTGAAAAACTGCAATCACTGTATTAAATTCAAATCTGAAGTAAAATGCTCTAATTATTTAAGTGCACAGGCGTCGTGAATCTATTCTCACTAACTGATCAAAGTGTTTTATTTTGTTGTTGTTACAATGAGAGTGAAATCTGTACATAATGAATGTTGACGAACAAGTTTAATGGCCTCCGTGGGGCATTCACAGTGTAATTATACTGAGTGTTGATGGTTGCATAGAATGAGTTTAAATCATTAAGTGTGTTTGACAAAGGTCTCCACAAGGCATTCACACTGAAAATCCATGATACGTTGATGGCTAAAACAAATTGAATCTACAGTGTGATAGAGGTCCCTATGGGCCCTACCCCGAAATTCTACTGTACATTGATGATTAGAATGAGTTGAATGTACAGTGTGCTAGAGTTCCCCACGGGCCCTACTCTGGAATTCTACTGTAAGTCGATGATTAGAATGAGTTGAATCCACAGTGTGCTAGAGGTCCCCACGGGCCATACCCTGAAATTCTACTGTATGTCGATGATTAGAATCTAGTGTGTCAGAGGTCCCTATGGACCCTACCTTGAAATTCTACTATATGTCGATTAGAATGAGTTGAATCTACAGTGTGCTAGAGGTCCCTATTGGCCATACCCCAAAATTCTATTGTATGGTGATCAGCATGTGACTTATACATGTTTAGCTTCAAAAAAATGATTATCTGTGTCACCCATAGAATGTACAACAAGAGAAGTTTGTAATATACAAGACAAAAATCAATACGAATACATTTGTATTTTGTTTATTTTAATTGGCACATTACTCTAGTTAAACGACATTGTCATACAATATAATTGAATGCATACAGTACCTACATGGACTACCAACAGGAACATAAAAGACGAAAAAATATTAAATAATTCAACCAACTAGTAGTGCGACTTTGTTGAATGGCAGATGAACAGATTCAATTCCAGTCTTGTTTTGTAGTTTAATGTGTCTTTAAAAATGGGAAATCACATTATACAAGAACCCAGCGACACATTAAAATCCAATCAGTACATATCATCCTAATTTCCTTTGTATCTATTACCCCCTGGGGTGAGATAATGGAGAAGAATGAGATGGCCAAGTTATCTCAGCACGACAATGCTGCTCAATTGATAACGCCATCACTATTCTCGCATTCACGAAATAAATCTAATTTTCCGTAAGTGACACAACACAGTGCCAATTTCACTTGGAAATTACAGCCAATCAATACTATATATTTCTGGCAGTTTTAAATTATGACTTTCTTGTTAAGATGACATCCTCGACAGCAAGTAATTTTAATTGTTTTCTATAATGATTTTTCCCACAATACAGTAACAATGTTTATAACAAGTACACACATACATGTATGCAATAACAAGTCTATGGGTGTTGTGGAATCAAAATCTGTGCCCAAAAAAAGTTAATTTTGCATATCTGCATTTCTAATACATACTTCTAAGCATACACTTCTCCAGTAAATCCAGAAGATATACATTAAATTTAGATCAATTCTTTCAAAACTACTGTATGCCAGAATTGAACAGGGTACTAGTTGAAATTATAGTTAACAATGATACTCACTTTAAACATATTTTTATGGGAAGGCAAAGCCAGCTAAGAGTCTGGTTTTGAAGTTATACCTACTCTATACTTTACATAGCATTATTGTGCATTGTACGAATAGAGGAAATGTATTGCATATACTTCTACTAGAAGTGTTTTTATAGAGTACCGTAGATCAGTTTTATACACAAACAAAAACATGTTCTCTATAAGAATTGAAATAACATTTTTTTGTAAACATTAATACATTTTCTTTAGGGTAAAATATATTCAAAAATAAATTAAATAATATTAAAACTGCTAATTTTAATAGATTTATAATTATGCGTTAAATAATTTTAATTATGCATTAAATAATACAAAATGTATGATTTGTAATACAGAATGTGGGCAGGACTATACATAGATAATGTCTACACATCAATGCAAATTACAGTCTCAATCTTACATCATATGACAAGGGGTTCCTTATTTAAAAGCAGGCGTACCATATATTAGAAGCTGCATCCTTAATAAAGTCACACCCATACTTTTCGAACAATTGAGAACCAAAAATTCATCATTTCTCATATGTGTACATGCTCTAATAGAACCCGCATCCCCTCTGTTGCATTGTAACATTTTAATAGAAGCCAGGGTTTCTAATTTACAGTACTTTACCTGAGAATTTAAAAATATATATTTTTGTTGCAATAATTGATTTACATGTACCTGACAAAAATGTTGTTATTCACATTTTCCCCAAATTGTTTCACCTTTTGTGGTCATGGTAACATTCCTTCTCTACCGGTATTCTCATTTTCTATCTTCATAATCCTGCTCACATCCTAGTTTCTACATGTAAATGTGGAACCCCTAATAATTCGCAAGCACCAAATGTTTGAAAACAAGCAGGTTATAACACCTAGTTCAGTGTGTGTTTTCTTCAGTTTTTTTTAATTCATGTTGCTACATCGTCTAGGGAAATCAACGTGTACAGGACAGGATTTATCAAATAAT